TTCCACAGAAGTTGGTGAAATTGACTATTTCAGTGTAAAACAGAACAGAACTTCCACGTGTGCAGAAATGTCTGAACACAGCAGTCATCTTCAGTCAGAATGCTTTTCTTTTTGCTGTGTTTCTACCAGTACAGTGATAGAAATGAAATGAGAGGAAGAAAAAAAATCTCTCTTCTCTGTAGGCCTCCATGCTTGACTTTCTTTTGCTTTGAAAAGTACAGCATGGCAATTGAGGACTTGTTTATTATCATTAATAGGCTACAGCTGCCCCTTAGAGGTCACTTTCCATCTCTGGGTGTCCACCTGGTAATGTGAGCTGCTTAAGAACTCACCTGCTTAAAATAACCACTATACAAAATTGAAGCCCTTGTGCCTAATTTCAAACTTCAGTATATATATCCAAGAGTGCTTGAAACTGCTAATACCACTTTTCAAGCAGGGAATAGTAATATTGCTCTCACACTTCAGAAACCAGTGGACTGACTTGTTCCTGTTAGAAAGGGAGGTTTATTATCAATTTCCCACAGAAGTGTCACACAAAGCCCAAGCTTATGTTGTTGCCTAGAGCTTTTTCCTCTTCCTCCTCAGGAGGCAAATCCAGTGCTGTTTCTCTAGGTATGAGTCTCAGCCTAGACCTTTTCCTTCCTCTTTGCAGACACACAGTTTTTGGGATGCAGATAGCTATTGGGAAAAGTTCCAAGATGTGAGACTGGGGGATGCTGCCTTGGCTCATCGAGTAACACACTGTTAGATGTGCAGAGAACCACAAACTTCTTTCCTTACGAAACTAAGTGGCTTACATTTCTGTTTTCATCCTATTAATGACTAATCACCAGTGGGCTACAGAACTCAAATAAGCAATTAAAAATCCAAGGTACCAACCTGAAGTTTTAAACTAGTTATTTCACAGTCTGTCCAGGAGTAGTTACTTTAGCACACTAATAGCCTTCTGAGCATTCTGTGACATCTATTTTATCTGTGACTTCTGCACTTTGTTGTGACTCACTGGATGATGCTAGCATGCTGTGTGGCCTTTGCTTATCCATCATTTTTATGTGTCACTGATTGCTGTTGCAAAATCATTTCTGACATTGTTTTCACAGTCAATGGCAGTCATTTATAGAATTGAGTCAGAAATTCAGTCTCAATAGTCTTTCCTCTAAAAACAAAAAATGGTGAAGGTAAGGGGAAGAAGGGATTAGGCTCCACTGAAAAGGAGGAAAGTAATGTAGACAAAAGTAACTGATGCTCCATGCAAAAATGGAGAGAGATGGGGGAGAAACAGATAGTAAGAAGGTGAAAGATTTATCCCTCCATGTGCCTTTTAACAATTGAAAGTGAGGCTAGAACTTTCCTAGCGTTTGTATTACTTTATGTCACAGTACTTAGAACCACATGGAGTGAAATGAAGATATCAAAGTTGAAATTATTTTGTATTCATTTAAAGCAAGGAACATAAGCTCTGCTTATTACCAACTCTGTTTAGAGCTAGTCACTACTTCTAAAGTGAGCAAATATGTATTCTTGCTTCTTTACCCTAAAGCAAGTTTCACAGATATTTCCACACTAGCAATTACCAATTAAATCTCAGGGATTCTTACTTCGTATCTCTTGCTTTACAGAAGAGTGACTGTGCTATACTATGTTATACAGTGTACTTAGTTCTCTGTGCAGTCAAATAGTAAAAAGCCCTAAGTAATATGTGAAGCAGGCATCCAGTTACGACTGCCATGCCAGCCCAGTAGTAACTCTTGGTGTCTCCTTGTTTTTAGAATGAGACCAAACCTGTGCAGATGATGTTCAGGAAAGGTAAATATAACATGACCTATATTGGAGACTTGGAGACCCAAGTCCTTGAGATCCCTTACGTTGGTAATGAACTCAGTATGATCGTTCTACTCCCCGATGCAATTAAGGATGAATCTACTGGCTTGGAAAAGGTAAGTTGTTGAGCTTAGTGCAAAGGCAGTTTGTGTCCTGCCTTGAAAGAGAGTTTGCTATCGTGCATGTGTTCATAGTTCAGTTCCAGAGCTATTGTATCACTGATGCTCAAGACAGACTGAAATGCTCCTTGTGTTTCTGCCCCTAAAGTGGCATGCCATTTATCACTACTAGCCAAGCTGTGTGCTGCCTCATTACGAAGAGGCTCTGAAGGAGGCCTCTTACTCATCAGAAGCAGGGCTTAGCTGTAGTTATGGTGAAGCCATAGTATGATGAGCACCAAATGAGAGGGAATTTGGGGCAGCTCTTAGGAAGTCCTTATTAGAAGTTCTACAGTTTGACCCATAGATCTTCTTACTGAAGATGTGACAGGTTGTCACTGCCCTTCTACTTGGAAACTGCTCACAGAATAATCCAAGTTCCCTTGTGTTATGTTGATAAGATACAGATCATGCTCTGGCCAATGGGTTAATAAATTTTGCATTTTTTTCCTAATGCTGCCTTTAAAGGGTGTTGTAAGCAGGCTTTGTCACCAGCCCATCAGCTGAAAGATCCTGAAAGGCTGAAGAACTGGGTTCAATTTGTCTGGGACCTGTCATCAGTTCTCCTGTGCTTTTACTTTCTATATGTAAAATAAGGTTTTTACAATCTGATAATATTTTAGAAACTGAACTTTACTGTATCTACCATCCCCCAAAAAACATACAGAATTGATCTCAGCTGAAGCAGTAGCCTCTACTAAGAAATACAACTTGTACTTCTGGCTTGAGACCCTGTAAGCTCCTGAAAAGATGCATATTACATGTAATGTAAACACATACACAGGCAAAAGTAGAGATTAGTGTAAAACTTTGACTATTCTTATTTTAATTATCTAACATTGGGTTATGTTTTTTGTTTTTAAGCTGGAAAGAGAACTTACATATGAGAAGCTGATGGAGTGGATTAATCCTGAAATGATGGACAGTACAGAAGTGAGGCTGTCTTTACCCAGGTTTAAACTAGAAGAAAACTATGATCTGAAACCCATCCTGAGCAACATGGGAATGCGTGATGCATTTAACTTACAGGCAGCGAACTTCTCAGGAATCTCCTCTGGTAACGAGCTTGCGCTCTCTGAAGTGGTTCACAAGTCCTTTGTGGAGGTCAATGAAGAAGGCACTGAAGCAGCAGCTGCCACAGCAGGGGTGATGTTGCTCCGCTGCGCTATGATCGTTCCCAACTTCACTGCCGATCATCCCTTCCTCTTCTTCATCCGGCACAACAAAACTTCCAGTATTTTGTTCTGTGGCAGATTTTGCTCTCCCTAAAGAGACAGAACTGCCATTAACACAGTGATGTGATTTCCTTTAGGGTAGAACTGCTCTTTTGCACTTATTACTTCTTTCCACTGTGCCTGAATCCCCTGATCTGGTTGTCGTTTTGGGCTCGCGTAGAGTAACAAAGCTGCTTACACATACGCAGCAGCTTAGAACACTTAATATTTTAATACTTAAAACAGCTGCCTTACACTTTGCACCTGAGTTGTTTTCTTCCTGGCACAAGAAACATGAACATCCCACTAGCTCAGTGAACTTCCACCTGTCATGTATCTTGCTTGCTTTTTGTGGCCACCAGATAGCAAGGCAACATTAAAAAAAAGAAGCTGATTTTGTTTCTGACTATAGCGGAAGATATCTTAGGCTCTGCTCCCCATTTTTCTTCCTATCCCCACTTATTTTTAACTTTCACTTTCTTTACTGTTTTGGTAATGGAGGGAGGCTTTGGCAAGCTGTTTCTAAGAGTTACTAAGCACCTGCACTAGACAGAGGTTTTATTGTAACTGGATAGCTCTTACGCAAGAATAGGAATAAAAGTTCTGTTTGTAACAAGTGATCTTACAGGTTTTCGTGGAATATTCTTATCTTAACACCACATGTGCCACCTGGGAATACTAGCTATCACCTGGTTCATTAGTCTTTAAAAAAAAAAAATGTTTAAAAAACAACAAATGCCTATGAAGTATTTAAGTGACAGAGCTTTATTTTTTTTTCCAATCTTTGTATGTTTTTACCTATTCTGTGTTTGTTAAGCATCTTCGTTAAACTGGATGCCAAGGGTTTCTTAACACAGTGATTTGTTTTGCTGTTCTTGAAAGAATAAACAAACTTCTTGTGAGTGCTGTGGGAGTCTGTTTCTTCTTTGACCATAAATATTGCAATTTTTGTTTTCATATCTAGTGTGAAGAAAACAAGCACGTAATGGTGGAAAGCAGTCATCTTTCATGTAGCTTACTCAGAATTCATTGCTTAACATAGGCTTTTCTGAATGCTGCAAAACCAAGGTGCTTACCTGGAGTATGATGGAGTTCAGGTGTTTACCTTTGAAGGATTCATAACAAGGAGTTTTTAAGGCAAAGGCTCAAAGTCAGAGAATCACAGAATGAATTGGGGTGGAAGGGATTTTAAAGATTATCTAGTTCCAATCCCTTGCTGTGGGCAGGGCTGTCCAGGGCTCCCTCTACCCTGGCCCTCAACACCTCCAAGGATGGGACACTCACAGCTCCTGTGGGCAGTCTGTACCAGAGCATCACCACTCTCCAAGTGAAAAACATCCCCCTGCCATCTAATCAAAATCTCCTCTTCTAGTTTAAAGCCATTCCCTCTTATAAAAGTCACTCTCCCTCCTTATTTATGTGCTCCCTTTAGATACTGGAAGACCACAGCGAGGTCTCCCTGGAGCATTCTCCAGTCTGAACAAGCTAAGTGTTTGTTTCTAGATGGGACATTGCAGCTCCTCAGCCCTGTGCCCAATAGTCACCATTTGGGGCAGGGAAGCTGCCAATGTGCTGCCTGTCAGACTAATGCTCAGTCAGTGCTGGGAGAGCAGCAGTGGGTGGAAGGGAAGTGGGCAGCCTCTGCTTCCAGTCCTTTGTCTGGGAATAGGGTGGCAGCAGGATGAAAAACAGAATTTTTTCTGCCCCTTTCCACCTCTAGAGGCTGCTGCTGGAGCGAATTCGTGGTACCACACTATAAGTGAAAGCAAAAGCATGCTGCTCATTCCTTTTCTAAACAGAAAAAGCGATCACGTTAACATCTGCCGTAAAGCAAAGCCGTGAGAAGAGAGAAGCGAGAAGCAGCCGTATCTGCAAATCCCAGTGCAAACAAAAAGGAGGGATCCCAGCTGTACAAGCAGGAAGGTTTTACAGCATTGCCTGCCACCAGCCTTTGCGTAACCATCTGCCCGCCCCAGTGTTGCACCTTTCACCCCACTGCCAGATACCTCACAGCTCCCAGTGGCCCTACCTCCAGCTCACTGCTGGGTTCTCTCCTGCTGGTTTGGTCCTCCCTAGCAGCTGCAAAGCATCACAGGAGGTAAGTGCATGCTTGTTGTTTTCACAGCCTGAAATGAATCCAGCCCTTAGAACATACACTAGGGCATTGAGGAGTGCTTTCTGAAGCCTTCACTGAAACCTTTATTTTCCAGCTGCAGCCATGGAGAGCCTGAGCAATGCCAACGGCAGGTTTGCACTCGATCTCTTCAGAAGGCTTAACGAGACCAATCCATCAGGAAATGTTTTCTTCTCCCCTCTCAGTATTTCTGCTGCTCTGGCCATGGTTCTTCTCGGGTCCAGAGGTAATACAGAGGCACAGGTGGTAAAGGTCAGCAGTAATTTCTCATTTTATTAAAATTAAAAACTGTTAAGTTTTAGAGCTCAGACAATGAGAGGAGGGCATTAATTGTGTGGGCAAGGTTTTTGTCATGCTCACTCTTCCCCACTGCTGTTACCTGCCTGCTGCACTCCAAAGCCCTCCTATTGTAGCCCATTCTTCCTCACTTCATTTGGGTTGATTGATGAATTTGGAAACTAACTTCACTGATTTATCTGTCTTAATTTAAATTGATTAGCATTTCCAGCAGCAAGTCTTTGCTAGAATTTGTGAAGATTTAGGCTAAATATTTGTAAGGGGGGAATTTTTCACTGAGAAAGTGGTGAGGTGGTGGCCAGGTTGCCCAGAGAAGCTGTGGGTGCCCCATCCCTAGATGTGTTCCAGACCAGGTTGGCAGCCTGAGCCAGTGGGTGGCTGCCCTGCCCACAGCAGGGTGGTGGAAATGGGTGGGCTTTAAGTCTCATTCCAGCCCAACCCATTCTATGATTCTATGAGCCTTTTCCACAAAGAACTATTGTTTTGCAACATGTATTTAGTAATTGTATGCATAATAACGCTAAGCATATCTTACAAGTAAAAAAAATAAAGAGCTGTATTATTCTAAGTATGACAATTTTTATAATACATGATGACATTACCCAAGACCCAGTGTTTCTGAGGAGCCGAACTCACATGTCCATTCTCACAGTATCCCTAGGTTGAGCAGCAGAGGTTAAAAGAAAACGATGTGGCTCCTTTACTGGGTGCTTTGTTGTGGACCCAGCTCAATCCTTTCACACTCCCCAGCCTGGTTGAAAGCTGGGGTAAGTAGTTTCCGTATTTAAAGTTAGTCTTCTAGAGCGGGTGGTTTCACAACAACAGTTGCAAATTCTAGTGCAGGTAGCAGTGTGCCAATTTCCTCTCAGATTCCTGTTCAAAAGAGACTCTGCCTCTTTTTTCTCAGCAAGGCAAACACCTGCTAGTGCAAAGGGAAGTAAGCAAGAATTGTCGCTCTAGTTCCTATTAACTCTTTTGCCCTATGAATAAGCTCACCTTTGTATTCTGAACTTTAGGAAGAACTTGTTTAGACCATTAATTGCTGTCATTCTTAGTGAAAAGACAATAAAACTGAATCACTGCTTGTAGAAACAGACTTTGAACGTATATTCCTTATAACTCAACTGTCAGCCCCACCCAGGAAGAATCTACTGGGAGCAGAAATAATGCAAGAGAAGCGCAGGGGAGTTGGAGACAGAAGGTGTTTCAGCACAGTAACTTTCTATAATGCACATTCCCATAGCATAACGTTTAATTGATGAGAACATCAGTTAATTAAGGAGATAATGACTGATGAGTGTGAAGCGTGTAGGCATGGAGAAATTCATTTCTGGGATCATAATCCTACCTTAAGTTGGAATCACAGAATATCCCATGGTGGAGGGGACCCATGAGGATCCAGCTCTCAGCTCCACAAGGCACCACCCACTATTGTGGATCCTGCTGCCCTACCTGCACACCTTGGCTAGTCACTTTCCCCACAGGTACTTGTATGCACACTTCCATATTATAACAGCTTTGAATTTTAAGGCAATAGTTGTCTAAGAAAGCACTTATGTTTTCATAAAACCACCAAAGATCATAGCTCTTAGATTTTCTTAGTACCTCATCTTCCCCGAATGCTCAGACAAGCTCAGTAGTCCATGGAGGAGACACATGCAAATAGCACTCCAATAGGACTCTGGGTCACAATCTATTGCTACAGCTGCAGCTAAATGTAAAGCAGTAGCTTAATACAAGTGACATGGATAGCACAGCACTAAGGGACAGTTTCACTTGTTCTTTGAGGTTTACAGCTTCCAACTTCCTTCTGCTTTCTTTCTTCAACATAACTACCAGAGGCACCATACAGATACGCTTCATGTTCTTTAAAAACAGCAGTAGCAGCAGTTAGCCTACCTCTTTCATTTCAGACATTTCATTTTGATGAAGTTGAAAATATACACTCAAGATTCCGGGCTCTGACTGCAGACATAAACAGAAGGGATTCTTCCTGTCTCCTACGGATTGCCAATCGACTTTTTGGAGAGAAGTCCTACAGCTTTCTGCCGGTATGGGTACACAGAATATAGCTGTGTGGTGGAACCTGGGGGGAGGCTTTGAAATGTCATTATCTATTGCTCTCCTGTCTCCAGAGTGTGCCCCATAGCAAAAATGTCACACTAGCAAGTCCAGATGTCAAAACTACCTTTCCGCATCAATAAGCAGCATAGCTCAGGTGTTGCTGTTGTTATAGGAATGCAGCCATTTGAGTATTTGAGATAAAATCATGTCTAGACATCTTTCTAAAAGTTACCAGGCAGTCTGCACAAGTGTCGCACACATGCACATGCACTTCTGTGTCTTTAGAATGTGCAGATGCCTATAGGATGCACCTAAAGGATGTTATACAACAAATCCCTTTGCTTGTTCAGTTCCATTGCTTTTTCCTCAAGAGAAAAAGCAAGCCATGTAGATTCTTAGCTTAGAGTATATATAACATCCCATTTCTCTGTCTGCTGTTTTTTTAGACTTTTCATTGGTCTAGTACTACATAACTGTTCTCAAAAATATGTTAAGTAATCTGGGAGGAGATTCCCAGCACGCCTAAACAGCACACCTCTTAACAAGGGAGCCGTACCTCTGTGTGTATTTAGGTATTGCTATTTTTATTCCTCTCCAGCTCTTGCTGGGAGGAATTTGTTCTTAGTCATGCTTAAGCCTGTTTCAGGAGAATGACAGAAGTGCTGGAGCACCTGCAGTAAGCACTCCCTCAGATGTATACGTGGCAGATGTACAGTGAGGCTTACTCACTGGTGTTTCAAAGAGAAACAGCAAAAAAAAAAAAAACCCCACACCCAAACAGACAATGCACTACTAGAGCCCCACCTCAGAGCAGGTGATAACCTTTGCATGTTATCTACAGCGTAAAGATATGTTCTCTTACCTATGTGCAATGACAGCTGTTCTTCATGTTCCAAAAATCTAGGACTTCCTGACTAACACTCAGAAGTTATATGGAGCTGATTTGGCTGCAGTTGATTTTCTTCAGGCTCATGGCGAAGTCCGGAAGGAAATTAACCAGTGGGTAGAGGAGAAAACTGAAGGTGAACTATTTTTCATTAATGAAGGAACTGGCAGTTTTGCATACTTCAGGAGCAGGAACAGCCTTTGTTTCCTGCCACCTGGAAATGGAGAAAACTCATTTTCTCCAGGGATATTAAAATGATTGGTTGACAGAATCAAAGAATACCTAAGCAAGAGATTTCAACAGCTACATAAATCATAGAATGGCCTGGGTTGAAAAGGACCACAATGCTCATCTAGTTTCAACCCCCTGATATGTGCAGGGTCGCCAACCAGCAGACCAGGCTGCCCAGAGCCACATCCAGCCTGGCCTTGAATGCCTCCAGGGATGGGGCATCCACAACCTCCTTGGGCAACCTGGTCCAGTGTGTCACCACCCTCTGTGTGGAAAAACTTCCTCCTAATATCTAACCTAAACCTCCCGTCTCAGTTTGAAACCATTCCCCCTTGTCCTATCACTATCCATCCTCATAAATAGTTGCTTCTCCCCCCCATTTAAATCCATAGTTTGTGTTCAGGCCAACCCATGCAGGCTAGGTATACAGACATAGATTTGTACTTATGAAATGGAGATCACTGACTACCTAAAATGACAGCCTAGTATTATATCTTTCTTAATCTGATAATCCTAAACCTGGGTATCTTCTAGTTTTTGCTTAGCTGGCTGCAGGTGTGGCAGGGGATGCCACCCTGAAGTGATGTGCTGCAACTCTCTGCAGCTTAGGCTGCCCTGTGTCCTTTTTATCTGGGTAGTTAGATACAAACCAGCGGAGATGACAAGTCATATGTGACAGTCATAACTACAAATACTACATTTCCATCAAGTTACTGTATATCAAAAATTATAGCATGTACTAAGTATGGTGAAATAAAGTGACAGGTACCGAAAAAAGACCATATTTAATCAGAGGAACGGACTAGAATTGTCTATTTCTATGGCATCAGTATCTCTGTGGATAATTCACATGCAATCAACATGTTACACGGTTTTGTTGTGACCTCCCTTTTTTTGTGCCCTCTGAAGGTAAAATCCCTGATCTGCTGTCTGAAGGCTCATTTAATAGCATGACCAAGTTGGTACTGGTAAATGCTATTTATTTCAAAGGGAACTGGGCAGAGAAATTTGAAGAAGCCAACACTGCTGACATGCCATTTCGGTTGAACAAGGTACAACAGATATATTTTGGTAGTATATATCTAATAAAACAAGTTAAAAAAAAATGTCTTAACCTGAATCTTCACTTACAATAATAGAAGAATGCAAGCATGGACATTTTTGTGAATGCTTTCAGTTTACAAAAGAGATTCTTTATGAATTTCAGTATTTCAGCAATTTCTTCTATCACTTACTAGAACAGTGTCAGAGGTGATCCTCACATGCAGCCTAGGACCCTGACTGTGCCTAGCTGAGTTTCTGTCCTTAGGCTGGTATGAACCGTATCAAGATGGCTGCACATTCCATTTGAGCCCCATTTTCTTGTTCTATATTTTGGAACATATAGCTCTACGAGGTATGTATTCAGTCATCTGATTTACACTGAACAGGATTAACCTTTGGTTATTTCTGCTGTTAGAGAAATATAAAGGTACAGCAACTCAAATCCTGTTTCAATCTCTGCAGTGACTGTGCTATAGAAGATGAGGAAGAATGAAACATTACAATTCAATTACAATTCTATCTTTAGAAAAATCAGTTGTTAAACTGCCAGTCAGGAATCTGATGGAGGTGGTTTTTATAGTCACCTGATATAGTGCAGTAGGGGTTTCTGCAAGAACACAATTCTTATGTTTACAACTGGTCTTTGAAATTGGTATTTTAACATTTTCGATACCTTTTAACTACTCAGAATGAAAGAAAGACAGTGAAAATGATGTATCAGAAAAAGAAGTTCCGTTTTGGGTACATCTCCGACATGAAAACCCGTGTTTTGGAGCTGCCCTATGATGAAAGAGAATTTAGCATGATCATCCTGTTGCCTGATGATATTGAAGATGACTCCACTGGACTGCAGAAGGTGACCCATTTAAACTAATGCAGTTATTTAAGTGATACATTCAGCCGCTGAAAATTAAAGCCTTTAATGAACCTATGTTTTTAGAACTCCATGTCCATCATGCATATTTTTTAGATAATGCTCTGCTAACATCACAAGAATACACGCACACTGTGCATTGTGGAGAGGAATTGTGTTCTATTTTTCTTGTGGCCTTTAGCTTGCTGAACAGAACTCTGAAGATGAAAACTGGTGTTTTTGTTTTGTTCTCACGGTGGAACTTCCATTACCTTTGAAAGTCTTTATTTTCTTAAACTTACATTAGGCAAGTTTTTCTACTAAATAACCAGTAATCAGGAACATATCAGCATCTTCAATCTCTCTGGTGATTATTTTTGTTAATGATTTTTAATTACCTAATTCCCTTTAGTTGGAATAACAGGAAAAATGATTGGTTTTAGCTACCAGTGCATGTTTTTGTAGTCTCTATCTAGCAACAAGAAGCAAGCATCTGTTTTACTCCATTGACTGAAAACTGCAGCAACTTCACTTAATTTCAGTAGCAGTCATTAAATCTGCACTGAGCTATCAAAAACAGGGTAATCATTTTACACTTGCTTTGTAGTTGTATGGTACTCTATGCAACCCTCTAAATGTTACTGGAAGTAATACACTCCCCTACTGATGAGGTGTAATTCTTTGTGTTTTTAATTCTAGCTGGAAAAGCAGCTCACCTTTGAAAAGCTCCAGGAGTGGACGTGTCCAGAGCATCTATATTCCAGTGATGTCCATGTGCATTTGCCAAAATTTGAGCTAGAAGAGAGCTATGACCTTAAATCAGATTTAGCAGCTATGGGCTTGTTGGACATATTTGACAGTGCCAAGGCTGACTTGTCAGGAATGTCAGGGGCACATGACCTTTTCCTCTCTGAAATTGTACACAAGGCTTTTGTAGAAGTGAATGAGGAGGGCACAGAAGCTGCAGCTGCTACTGCTGGCATTGCGATGCTTTGCATGATTATAGAAGAGGATTTCAATGCTGACCATCCTTTCCTTTTCTTTATTCGCCACAACCCAACACAAAGCATACTTTTCTTTGGCAGATATGCTTCTCCATGAAAAATAACCCATCATTTGCAAAACAGTTTCTGCTGCAATCAGCAAATGCTTTGCTTATGAGCAAGTTGAATTTTGATACAGAATGTCATGGTTCCTGTCTTGAGTTCTCAGTAACTGTCACTATGATTCTGCATTTCACATTTAAATAATCAGATAGAAAATGGATTAGTAACTCTTAGCCTCCCCAGAGATTCAAGTTCCTGTACTCACTAGGAAGTAACCAAAAGAGTCTTAACTTCTTTGGCAGAAGTAGTCTTCTTTTTAAATTGGGCTAGCAGTGAAAATATTCTTGGAAGAAACTTGAACTTTTAGGATGCCAGATCACTCTCTCTCTTTGTACAGATTTCTCTGTATTTACAGAGAAGGCTGACAACACCCAATGCAGTACAGTCATTCCTCATACGTGTGAGCTAGGATGTAGTTGGAAAGCTATCGCTTCCATAAGGTCTTGTTCTTCAAATATACATTAACATCAAAATAATTAATTTAATATCATTAAAACTTCCAGGTACCAAAGGACTTCCTCCAAAACAGCTGAGTTTACCCAGCTCTGTCACAGAATAGAAGGTCAGATAACATTTGTTTGGAGACATCTATTAATAGACATAGGATTAAGCTATTTAAACAAAAGTAACCCCTTCCAGACATTAGCCAGAAAACTTACAATACAACTTTTAAATGATGAAAAAGAGAAACTAATGTATTTAGGTGATATGTCTAAAGAGAGTTTTTCAAATGTGGAATTAGGTGCCATTTTAGTTATTGAAAAAAATGTGAATGTTTCTTCAAGTTCATGTATTTTCAACAGAGGATAGCTTCTGGCTAGATGCTAGGTGAACCTCAAAAAAAAACTTTTCAGCGTCCCAGAAGATGACTGCCTATAGCCTGCAACAAATGCTTCATGTTTATATACAAAATTCAACATTTGTTGAGATCTGATGTCCACTACCTGTTTATACATAACTCCTTACATTGTACAGCCACCTTATACTTGGGAGCCAATACATGCTGTTAATATTCCATTTAGTTCCAAATGTTACTTTCCTGTGTTGTGTATGTTTTGGATACTGTTTCTTGTGTTCACCTGTACAGTCTCAGTTCTAAGCAGGGCACAGACATTTATGCAATTGTAAACTGCATTGCAATTTTTTCAGTTAAGCACCAAATAAAGAGTTTATCTTCAACTCATGTTCCAAACAGAGACATCTGCGCGTCATTTTGTATTTCAGAGTGCAAAAGTAACTGTCACTGTGACTAGAAGGCTAGCTCCAAAGAAAGCCACTGGCCCAGTACACACTGTCAGATGTATGAAGCCCTTGGCCTGTTCAGAGTAGATAAAAACAACAAAAAACAACCTCATCTCTAAAGAAGGAATTATTACGTGAACGTAACGCAATGGAAAGCTCAACAACACAGCAGAACAGCAAGATACCAGGCTGCAATGATCAAGGATTCACTCAGATCCAAAAACAGCAGGTGCAGAAATAAGGAAAACCAAACCCTCCTTACCTTCAGAAGGCCTAAATCATCCTCAGATAAACAGGGATCTCCAAATAAGATACCTTTACCTCCACTGCCAGCTCTTAAATAAGGTCTGGGAAGGGGTGCATCCTGGCTTCACCCCTTCTGGTCACTCAGCTTCATTGCTTGCACCTGAGCTCCCCTGGGCTGGCACTGCCTTCCTACCAGGTGCTCAATCACTGTTTCAAGCAATGGCAACTTTTCCACTGCGGTGAATCATTAGCTTCCCCTGCAAGCGTAATGGCTCCATCTGCTAGCACAGGGAATGAGGACTGAGTAACGCCTTACATTAAATGGCAGTCATTGAGTTGGCATATTAGTTACATGTTTCTGTGTTACTGGTGCCCTGGTTTCAAAGGCTGTGTTTAGTTTTTACACTTAATCCAAAATTCAGAGGAAAGTATGCTCATTGTGATAGGAATAAGGCAGAAATATTAGTGCTTACATAAACTCTTTATGATAGCCCATTAATTTCAGCAATTTAAAAAGATTTTAAAAAAACACTCCACACTCTGCCATTTGGCTGATATCTATCTGAATCATACAGTTTGAGTTGCTCTTCCTACAAAGTAAATGTCATAGCCTGGATAAGTAGGACAGCTATGGTTGGGTTTCACCTCCCCTTACCTTAGAGATAAATTTATATAATGAGTTAATTCAGAGCACGTTGAGTAAGGTTTGCACTGTTGAATCTTTTTGCATAATTACATGGGACCACAAATCAAGTGAAGTACATAAACCAGTGAAAAATCTCAAAAGTCATGGAGGCAGATACACGTCTTCATTTTTCGATATGTTTTGACTAGACAGGAATATCAGTGACCTGGGTGAGGGGATAGAATGCACCCTTGCCAAGTTTGCTGATGATACACAGCTGTGAGGTGTGGCTTATGCACTAGAAGGCCATTCAACAAGACCTGGGCAGATTGGATTGCTGGGTGGAGATGAACCTGATGAGGTTCGGCAAGGAGAGGGGCAGAGTCCTGTAGATAAGGAGGAATAACTGCATGCACCTGTACAGGATGGGGGATGACCTGCTGGAGAGGAGCTTTGCAGGGAAGAACCTGGATGTCCTGATGGGCATCAGGCTGGCCATGAGCCAGCAGTGTGCCCTTATGGCCCTGAAGGCCAATGGGATCCTAGGGAGCATTAAAAGAGTGTGCCTAGCAGGTCAAGGAAAGTGATCACACATATGTGTATGTTTGGTGCCCCTGCTAGGCAGGGGGGTTGGAACTACATGATCCTTGGGGTCCCTTCCAACCCGGGTGATTCTGTGATTCTGTGATTTTGTGATTCTGTGATTCTGTGATCCTTCCCTCCTACTCTGCCCTGGTAAGGTCACATTTAGAATACTGTATCCAGTTATGGTTTTCACTGTTCAAAACAGACTAGTAGTTACTGGAGAAAGAGTCCAGTAGAAGACCACAAAGATTATCAGAGACATGCAGCATCTTACTTACGAGGAAAGACTGAGAAACCTGGGACTCTTTGGCCTGGATGGGATTCTTATCACTATAAAAATTGAAAGGACAGATATCAAGTATATAAGGCCAGCCTCGTTTCAATGGTGCCCAGGGACAGAACAAGGGCACATAGTCACAAATCAGAGCATAGGAATTTCCATCTGATCATGAGGAAAATCTTTGAGGATCACAGACCAGCGGAACAGACTGCCCAGAGCAGCTGTGGATTTTCCTTCTCTGGAGACATTCAAAATGCACCTGGATGTTTTCCTATGCAACTTGCTGTAGGGAACTGCTTTAGCAGGGGGTTGGATTGGATGATCCCCAGAGGCTACATCCAACCCCCATAATTCTTTGATTCTGTTAATATGATCACTGCAATTAACTTAAGACTGTGGAAATAGAAAGGTGCAAATGAAATCAGAAATTGGCTTTTTGCTACTCTTTATCATATTGAACCTGTCGGATGTTTTCATGTCATCTTGTGACACCAAGTAAAGACAAGTTCCTACACATGTGCATTAAATGTCCATGCAAATTCTTACTTCTTAACAATGCATACTTTGCTCTGAATTTTAGGAAATTTGCTTCCTATTTATTTTCATGAAAATTGCAGTAGATACAAAGAGCAAAATAATACTCATAGAGCAAATTCTCATCTACAAAACACTATTTTTCGCCATACTCCAGCCCTCTGCTGAAGGAGGTTGAATAGTGTAGGCTGCACAGGAAAGGGTGAGTGAACACTTTCATGTCAGCACTTGGTACAAAAAGCAATGCTACTATTTTGTACTGCATCCAGACCAGAACAAGCCAAAAACTGTCTATCCACATTTCAGAAAGTGTAAACAGTTCATGGAAGATAGATTACTGTAAAAAGAAAGAACACATGCAGTATAAACGTGCAAATTTACTTCCCCCGAAGTACCGCAATTACAAACAAAAATCATGGAATGATGGAGGGTGATGGAGGCTCAGGCTGGGGCCTCTGTGTTTTTGTCTCTGCTCACCTCCATCTACATGTCTAGAAAGTACAGAGACAAATCACCAAAGCAGATCCCCTCCCAAAACATCCACTGTGACAAAAGCAAAAACTTATCAGAGGAAAGAGAGACACAGAAGTGTAAAGAATCAAAATCAAACCCAGTAACAGCAAACAGCGATTTAATCTACTTTGTCTTGAATTGCATGAATTTTTAAAACGGAGAACAGCTTTATATGACTACAATCAGGCTGGGAGCCTCGGAACAATAAGTTTCCATCAGAAAATTTATAGAACAATAAACCATCTTGTTATACGTGCCTGGGTCTGTGTATCATGGCCTGAGCCACCCAATGGGCCTGTGGGAAGACAAGGTGTGAAACAGTGATGTGCAAAACAGAGACGTGTGAAACACTGACACTGAGCACACGAGATGTGGGGGGGAATGGAGCGGGCAGCGGCGCTGCGGAAAGCCCAGGAACGTGTGCTGGGGCTGCAGTGCTGCTGGCATGTGTGCAGCAGGTGAGGCCGGCGCACGGTGATGAGCAAGCAATGGACGGCGACATCGCTGTGGGACGGGTGGTGATGTCACCCAGTGAAGGTGAGCACTGGCGACACGGCCGAGCCGTGGTTTGTGACGTCTCCGTGCGACGCATTGTGACTGCTTGGCCCACGCTGCTTGAACGCGGGCGCGGCAGCCCGGCCCGGCAGTTCGTGCCTGGCCTCCGACCGAGCGACTGTGCGAGGACTGGAGTGTGGACAGGGCGAGCTTTGGAGCTGAAACGTGCTCTGGGTGCTGCTAGCGCAGCTCTCAGACGCCGTCTCAGAGCCACTTTGCTGTACCCCGACCCTGCTGGCAGCAGGCAGCCGGGACATCGCGGAGAGGCGCGTGCAGCAGCGCAGGTAGGCAGTGTGGCAATGCCTCACGCCAGCAGCATGGAGGTGACATTAGATACCTACAGCCCCACAGACCTGGAGAAGTGGGACAGCATGGTTGCACCATGTCACGCTGCCACCATTTTTGTTTCCACTGCACCCAGCCGTCCAATAGCAGCAGGCCCCAGGGTCCACACTGCAAACAGGGCATGCGGTCCATCATCCATGCAGTGCGGGCAGACAGCAACTGTGAGGAGCTGGTCCTCAGGACAGCCAAAGCAGCATCCATTACACCATATTGGACCTATCAAGCTTTGCCATGCTATCTTATGGCACCATCTAATGGCAAATTGGTTACAAGTTACACGCGTAGTAAAAATACATAAAACCTTTACTTCCCCAAATCTATCTTTCACCATTACAAAACAAAATCACGGAATGATGGAGGGCGATGGAGGCCCAGGCTGGGGCCCCAGTAGATGCAGCAATGGACGGTGAGGTCACCAACCAAGGGGTTGTGATGTCAGCAATGGAGATGGCTGTGACCTCGCTAGCCCTTTCTGTATAGATCTGGGCTCTGGCAGAGGCCAGCGTGCACTCGTGCCTGTACTCCAGTTGAGCATAGATGTGAGACTTGGAGCACTGAGCGAGTTGGTTGCGTTGAGCTGTGGGGCTGCTGGCACCAGTTCTTGGTGCCCGTCCCACAGTATCAGCAGCGTTTCCCCCAGCCCTGCCTGCCTCAGGCAGCTGGGGCCGCAAAGGGTGCACTTGTAGCGTCAGAGGTGAGTGGTGCAGGACATCACGGCCCCTGCAGCAGCTGGTGGGGAACAGGGACTAGGCAGGTTTGCTGCTGAGGCAGCGAGTGACCGCAGGCTCTCTCTCTCTTTTGCAGTTCGTAACACCTTCTGCTTGCTGCAGCACCAGCGAGGGGAGCAGCTTCCCGACCTCAGCTCTCCCCAGCCCACCGCACAGCCCGGGGCCATGGACGTGGCATCCGACTGGGTCTGCCCCATCTGTGGGCAAATTCGGGAGGATGTCACCTACGTGACCCCCTGCCAACACCAGCTGTGCTACGGCTGTGCCATCTGGTGGGCCTACAAGAAGCCGAGTTGTGCCGTATGCGGGCACGAAATAAGAACTATCCGATACTCGGTGAGGTCGGATGATGACTTCCTTGAGTGTGCTGTCCCGCAGCCCGCAGTGCACTCAGATCAAGATCAAGGCCTGCAGGAGGAGCAGGGGCCTGCAGAGCCGGTGCTCATCCCACCTGAGCACAGCTTCCCAGCCGAGGTCTGGGCTGCATTTTTCAGAGAACATCAGGGAGACCTCGAACCCCTGCTCC